CCCTGAGCAACCGTCTCTAGGGAGACCGGGCCCCGCCCCGGGCACGGAACCCGGTACGGAGCCCACCTGTGCAGGCGTCCGCGGGGTCCCCGCGCCCCAGCCGAACGTCCCGCCCCTCCCTGCCCTGCCCAGCGCTGGGCTTTGTCCGCCTGGGGCGGAACGAGCAGGGTCGGGGAGCAGCTCGGGGTCCAGCAGCGTGGGGGCTGGGGGAGGCGGACGCGTTCCAGGGACCCACAGGACCCAGCGAGGGAGGCAAAGGCAGCGGGTCGCGCTCGCGGTGTGAGTCCCTGCTGTGGGCTGGGTGTTGCTCTCCCCTCTCCCAATCTGAGTGCATCCTTTGTGCCTCCGGGAGGTCGGAATCCTGGGTGTCTCTGCTGCCGCCCTTGCTGGGATGAGCTGGGCCCTCCGCGGGCTCGGGACGAGGACGCGCCTGTTCGGGGCAAGCTGTTTACTTGTCAGCGTCAGAGCAGCTTCTGCGCGCGGCCTCCCTTCCCCCTGCCCCCGATTCGGACGAGCATCCTGCGCTCTGTCCACTGCCTCCCAGGCTTTGCCCTTGAACCCAAAGGGGCTAGAGGGTGGCAGATCCAGGTCCTGAGGTCCTGGCCAGCATCCTCCCAGGGAAGTGCCTTCTCCGTGGCCGCCCTCTTGCGAGTTCTGGCCTGGCTCTTTATTTCTTGACCTGAATTCCGGAGGACTCATTCTTTCCTTGCCTTCTCTAACTCTTCCTTCTCTCGACTCCATCATGCATTTTGCTTTGTCTTTCTTCGTTTTTGAAAGTGCTTTGCCTGTAACCATGTGTCACTTCTCTGTGCCAGAGCTGCTGTTATTTGTCTCGATTACCCCAGAACTGGCCAGCTTTTTTGCTAGTCAGCCATGGAAGTTACTTCTTCCTTAGCTCCTGCTGCTGGCCTCATTCCTCTGGTAGCATTGCCTTGAAAACCCTTGTCCTCTTCCCCTGGATGCTGACAGAGAGACCATTCAAACCCACCTTCCCAGGCTCCTGTACTCCTGTAGCGTGGTCCATGAAGCACCCTTCCACAGACTGGGCTGGCAATCCGAAGGACTCCAGCTTGGTCCTTGGGAAATGTGTCCCTGGAATACACACCTTTTCCACGGGTTCCTAGGGCTCTGCGTTTTGTCTCGGAGAAGCCAGTTTCTAGCTCCTCACGGGCCTACCTAGTGGGTTCCAGGCCAGAGTCTCCCTGCTATGTAGGTAGCCATGCCCAGTTCCCAGGGTTAGGGACAGGGATGGATCCTCTTGCTGGATGAAGACACAGAAGCTCTAGTGTCTTTTTTTTTTTTTTTTTTTTTTTTTTTTTTTGTCCTTTTTGGGGTCAGGTTGTTTCCATGTGCACAGAGGTTAGGGAAGAAACATCACAGATGCAGAAAGTGGATGGCCTCTCCCCTCACACAATTTCTTTTTATCTCCAGCTGAACAGGGATACATTTTCCTTTAGACATAGGCCTTGGAAACAGACCCGCATGGAGAATCAAGATCTCAAGTTCATGAACTTGCTTTTTGCAACCATTGAATGGAACTCGAACCCAGGCTGGGCTCAGATCAATTACTTTGCTTTCAAAAACCCAACAAACAGCTCTAAAAATGATCTGAGCCATCTGTATGCATATTCCTGCTTCAGGCCCTGGAATTGCTCCTGTGGTTTGCTTCAGTACCACCAAAGGGAGCCGGGGGTGGCATTGGCGCAGATGGCAAGAAAGGCCGATCAAGCAGAATGTGATTGGTTTGCAAAAAGGGAGACTGAGGTGAAGCATTTGCTTTTGAGCTAAAGTCCTGTAGGAGAATGCTTAGAAGGTTTCTGAGATTCTCTCTTTTAAACGTTTTTTTCTCTTTCTTTTTTTTTCAACAGATAAGTCCAGAGTCAGGCAACGGCGGGATGACACTCACTGATTCTAAAGCATCTTTAATCTGCCAGGCAGAAGGGCCTTTGCTGGTCTTTCCTGGACTATCCCAGAAAGGTAGGTTGGGGAAAAGGGACTAGCAAGTGGGGACAGAAAGAAGAGTCGTTAGTTATTTTGTAGACTGGTTAAGAATTTGAACAGGCAGCACCAACAGATGGCATAATGGTTACGTTGTTGTACTCCCATGTAGTCTACTGCAGTTTGAATCCCAGACCTGGCAGCGTAAAACTCACTGGGCGCATGTACGTGCATGCCCAAAGCCCTGAGAGGAGAATGGAGGAGAAGGGATTGCAGTGTGGCCATCTCCCTGGGAGATGACTTCTTGCTTCTGTCTCTCTGTCTCTCTAGCAAGCACATGTACATTTTTACTCTTTAGCAAAAATCTCTCTCTAAAGTAAAAAAAGAATTTGAACCAAGCCTTCCCTCCCTGACTCCCCAGCCAAAGGATTATCATCTCATAGGACTAGTATGCCCAAAGGAAGAAAATGACCCAAATGTGTGCCTTGAGCAAGGAAGGGGGAGAGTGAAGAGACTTCAGCCAGCTTCCCAAGAGGGAGATGCTGCTACCTGGGAGAAGGAGTGGTTTTGGGGCCAGCAGGTGGTGTGGTGGTTGAGGCACTGGGCTCTCATTGGCTGATCATGGTTCGAATCCCAGACCTGGTGACTTGCTTTCTTACTTTCCCTCTCTCTGTCTCTGTCTTTCTCTGGTGAGTGCATGTGCCCTACAGCAAAACTTAAAAATAATAACAATAACAAAATAAATAAATAATTTTAAAAACAGGGACCAGCAGATGGCATAATGGTTATATAACTGGACTCCCATGTAGTGACTGCAGTCTGAATCCCAAACCCGGGGGGCTTAAAACTCAACGCTAAGCGTATGTGTGTGCATGCCCAAGATCCTTTTTTTTTTTTTTTTTTGAGAGATTTTCGCTATAGGGCGGCGCTCGCCAGACAGACAGAGACATAGAGACAGAAAGCAAGACGTCACCCCCCCAGGGGGGATGGCCATGCCACAATCCCTTCTCCTCCATTCTCCTCTCAAGATCTTGGGCACACATGCATGCGTGCCTGGCGTGAGTTTAAGCCACCGGGTCCGAGATGCAAACCGCGGTCGACTACGTGGGAGTCCAGTGACATAGCCATTACGCTAACTGCTGGTTCCCACCCAAGATCCTAAGAGAAGTATGGAGGAAAAGGGATTGTGGCATGGCCATCCCCCCAGGGGGTGATTTCTCACTTTCTGTCTCTCTCTTTCTCCAGCAAGCGCATGCACCCTATAGCAAAAATCTCTCTAAAAAAATAAATAGAATAAGAAAAAGAAGGAGCAGTTTTGCTCAGAGAAGCAAAATCTGGAATCTGAATCTGTTATTAAGTGGAAGTTTTTGGTATTTGACTCTCTCTTTTCATGGTAGACCTGAACTGGCCTACCTGAGAAGAGAAAAATTAAAACATTTTTATGAAGGAAGTGGATTGGATTTTTATAACTCAGTATTGCTTTTTAAGAAGTCCTTAGGGGGACCAGCAGTTAGCATAATGGCTACATCGCTGGGCTCGCATGTAGTCGACTGCGCTTTGAGTCCCGGATCCGGTGGCTTAAACTCATGCCGGGCACATGTGCATGCGTGCCCAAGATCCTGAGAGGAGAATGGAGGAGAAGGGATTGAGGCGTGGCCATCCCTCCTGGGGGGTGATTTCTTGCTTTCTGTCTGTCTGTCTGTCTGTCTCTGTCCTTCTAGCGAGCACACGTTCCCTATAGCAAAAACCTCTCCAAAAAAATAAAGAAGTCCTTAGGTGAGGACACTCTGTAGCTCTAGAGAGTTAGCAGTCACTATGTCAGTAATAGGAATTAGCGGTCACTATGTCAGTAATAGGAGTTAGCGGTCACTATGTCAGTAATAGGAGTTAGCGGTCACTATGTCAGTAATACTCCTCAGAGCATCTAGGACATTAGCTTGGGAAATGAATGCACTCCTTTCCTTGTGTGAATGAAGAAACTGAGGCCAAAGGCCAGCACTGGCTGCATGTTGGCCAAAAACTGCCATCTGAGGTCGTGGGGTACCTGAGTGTGATTGGTGAGCTCTTATGATTGGAGGCCTGGTGGTCCCCTCGCCAGCTCTGTGGGTGCAGAGAACAGAACATTTCTGTGTGTACACTGAGCATGCTGCTTTAGTAGCTACGGTCATTTCAGGATGGAAAGAGGCAGGGGTGGAGCTTGGTGTCATCTGTAGAGCATTTTCCTCCAAACTTAACCTCATTTTTTCTTGACTAGTACTTTCCAACTTCTTTGTTGGTTGTGAATTTTTTTTTAATCAAAATATTGACTTGGGCGCCAACAGGTGGTGTAATAGTTAAGGTGCTGGATTCTCACATGGTGGACTACGATGCAAGTCCTGAACTGTGGCTTGAAAATCACAGAGCACGTGTGCATGTGTGCTCAAAATGCCAAGAGGAGAATGGAGGAAAAGGGATTGAAGCGTGGCCATCCCCCTGAGGGGTGATTTCTCACTTTCCCTCCCACTATCTCTGTCTTTCTCCAGCAAGTGCACAAGCCTTATTGCAGACTGGTGCCAAGACCACATGGGAAGCCCAGGTTTAGATCCCAGACTGACCTGACAGACTGAGCATGTGTGATCCTGGCTGGGTGGAGGACGAGGGTGGAAGGACTGTAGCTTGAGGAGACTTTATCCAAGGTTCCTCCCCTCTTTCTCATTAAAAAAATAAAGATAAATAAACTTTAAAGAAAAAATCAAATCAAAGCATTAAATGAAATTTTAACATAAAAGCAGATAAAAACAGAGAGCCACCAAGGTTGAAGTAGAGACTAGTTCAGAACTCCCTCCACTGAGCACCCCATCCTACTACCACCCACCTCTGAAGTCTTCAGGGTGCCTCTCTGGAGCCCCAGAACTCCAGGAGAATAGGCAAAAACCGAGATCATGTAGACCCATGTGGAAGGATTGGTGCTTCCTCTACACCCTGTCTACACTGTCCTAAGCTTTATGTCTGAAAATGCCTTTCTATACTAATCTTTAATCCTTATGGGAGGGGACTTTAAAAAGTTCATGGAAAATGTAAATAAGAGTTTATTTGGAGGCCAGCAGGTGACATGATGGTTAAGGTGCTGGACTCCCACAGTTCGCGGCTCGGACCTGGCAGCTTGCTTTCTCACTTTCCTGCTTTCTTTCTGTCTCTCTCGTCAAATTAAATAATAATAATAATAACAATGATAAATAAAATTAAATAAATAATTATTTTAAAAAATAGTTTGCTTGGGTGCAAAAAATTTGAAATCTATGCATAGTTTTTTTTTTTTAGTGTTTTCATAATACTCATTTTCCACATATTTTGATGAATTCTCATACTTTTTATTTATAAAAATATGTACTTACTTTAAAATATTTGGAGAATACTAAAATATATTAGAATCATAACTCTTCTGTAATCCTATCCCCACCCTACCCCACCCCCAGCAAGTACCATTGTTTTCTTATTGGAGCATCTTCACACACAGTCTTCCATGGGTGTATCTTTTAAAACTTGATTTTTTTGGTTTGTTTATTTGTTTGTTTGTTTGTTTTTGGTATGGGGCATGTGCACTAGCCAGAGGGAGACAGATAAAGAGAGAAATGATAGGGAACATGAGAAGTCACCTCCCAGTCCCTTCTCCACATTCTTTTCTCTAGGTTTTGGGCATGTACACACATGCACCTGGCATGTTTTCAAACTGTCAGGTCCAGGACTGGAATCACACTATCAGTCATGTGCATCTAGCTACTTTAACCTCCACGCCACCTGCTGGCTCCATACCACTTGATTTTTATTTATTGTTAAATATTATTATAGACTTCTGCATAAACAAAACGGAATGCATGTTTATCTGCTCTATTTCAAAATTCCACTGAAATAAAAAGTAGAGAAATAAGAAAAATTCAAAAGAAAACCAAGAAGTAAATGATAGAGGAGGGGGAGATGAACAAAAATTTTGAAAGCTGGAAAGCTATGGATGAGAAAGAATCTGAGAGAATGTTGAATGTCTCAGTTTAGGGGGAAATACGCTGAAAAAGCCAAGAATGGGGCCTATTGAGGGTTCCCAAAGTGAGATGCAGGCTGGGCAGGAAGCAGGAAGATTGGTTGAGAGTATGTGTTAGTGACAGGACCCTCCTCTCTCAGCCCTCTGTACCCCAGCAGAAAATGGCAGGTTTCCTGCAGGCAGGTGTTGAGTCAGAGGGCTCAGTCCCGGCCAAGGTTAGGGGGAAGCAGTATACTGAGAACAGGAGAATGAAAGTTTGCATCCCAGATGATGTGACTGTCTCCCAGTTGGCTCCCAGAACATGGCAGCCTGGCTTATACCCAGGCTCCAGACAGGGCCTTGAAGAACTCCTCTCTAGGGAAACCGACCTCACAAGAAGAAAAAGTCAGCAAAGAAAAAAAGGACACATAGGGAAGATCAGGGAGCAGAATGGCATTGGATTTTCCAAAATCAACACTAGAAATTACAAAACAGTTCATCAATGCTTACCAATTTCCAAAAGAAATTAATTCGCTACCTAGAACTCTGTAATTATGATTCAAGTAAAATTGTACATTACAGACATTGTTTTAGATGTGAATTTTCAAAAACTTTATTCCCTATCATATCCCTTTCCAAGGAAGCAATTAGAGGATGTTCTCAACTAAAATCACAGAGTAAATCCAAAAAGAAGGATAAATAATGCAATGTGGGCCAGCAGGTAGCATGGTGGTTAAGGCGCTGGACCCCACGTGGCTGACTGCAGTTTGAGTCCCAGACCCAGTGGCTTGAAAAACACACCAAGCACATGTGTGTACATGCCCAAAATCCTAAGAGAAAACTGGAGGAGAAGGGATTGCATCATGGTTACCCCCGGGGGTAGGCATGATTTCTCACTTTCTCTGTCTCTATGTCTCTCTGGCAAATTTATACACCCTATGGCAAAAACATAAAATAATAATAATAATGATGTGATGTCCAATTGTCTTCCATGCTCACTTGGCTCAGCAGACAATGGCTTTCTGTATTTCACCTATTCTCTTAC